TGACCCCACTCTCCTCTATATCCCCCAAAATCTCATAAGATTTTACAAAATAACATGAAACTTTGGGCTATCTCATGTGATTCCCTTTACATTTATTGTTACAGACTCAAAAATTACCAATTTTTTTCTTTTATTTCAAAACAATCAGTTGCATGTGTATGTGCATGATTTTTCTACTGATCACATTAAACAGTTTTGCTTTAAATTTTCTTATGTTTTTCTATCTGAATGTGACTATTAAAACAGCTTAACTGGTTATCTTAATAACTAGTTTGTTGCACTTAGTCACTTTACAAAGAGACCGACAGAGACACAGAAATTTATTTAATTTTTTTAAAATTCAAGTCACGTTCTCAAGATTCATAAAATCTATAAAGATATCCTTACATTAGCAGCATCTGCCATACCTGACAATGAAGCATGGTCCAATATCACTCCTCTTTAGTAATTAATGCCAATTTCTAGTTTTTACGCAGTCTGTCCGTGCTTAATTTCCTAACGTTTAGTAATCCTTTCATCATCTTTTTAAATGTCACCTCCAATCTGCCTTTCACATATTTCTTTCATTAATTCAGATCCCACGTCAACCATCACCTCTGACGATCAGACAGATTTTTTTTGTCTGATGCCTGAAGTATTTTATTTTAAATACTATTAATGACAGCACTATGACATGAATTCTGTGGCATGTGTATCTAAAGACAAAACTTTGACATACTGCACTAAAAAAGAAAACAAATTCTTGCTTATGTCAACAGACTCATGGTATCTTCTTCATGATATTACGTAGTTGCACATAAATATCAACCAGTTTTAGGACATTTTACTTGGATTTGAGGTTTCAGATTAACATAAGAAAATCATACATTTTTTTTTAACTTACTGTCTAAGTTCCTTGCGTTCTTCGTTGCCAATATTTCTTTCCCTTTCCCTTATTAAATGCCCCTTCCTGAAGCTAAGTTGAATATTTATGATGTATGAGTATATAAATATCATCTACAAAATAGTACTGGGGCGTGACAGATCAGATAGATCAGATACCAAACTCTTTCCCCACTGTCAACAATCCCAACAAAATTCCCTTTCTAATAAACACTGGTGCTTTGTAACATTGATATCAATGAAATGTGTGCATTTTATTTCTGAAAGCTTCCCAAACCGTGACAGATATACTAGATAACAAGACAAAGCACCACAAAACCCGAAACTTTCAATTTTTGATATATTTGCACCCAACTTCTCATTCATAAGACTAGCGGGCCCTGCATACAGGCATTATACCTTCATGTTTCCTCTCATAACTTACAGCCGACCAGAATTGATCTCACAATAGCACACCCATGTGCTGCATTGATGTTTGCATTACTGATGACAATTTCTTTCAGGGCCTTCTCACTTATTTCATGTATCAGTATGAAAAAGAGACAATGATGTTGATCTCATTGTGAATTAAACATTTCATTATCTAACTTCCCAGAAGAATACAGATGTCACTACTCATTGCACACCATAGGAGACTAACATGAGAATCATAACTCAATATTTAAACATAATATCAAAATATTTTAACCTGTTTATCAAAACGGCTACTTTAATTTTACAATAAGTAATATGTACATACTTTTATATCTGTATAAATTTAAGAAGTCTCATCACAACTCTCTCACCTGGCCAAAAAAAAAAAATCTTCCTAAATTAGCTAGAGTAACCTTGGACTTTGTGTTTGTTTCCCTGATGTCTGCTCTCTCCAAACATTCAGATAATTCAGGAAGATAAAAGCAAACCCCCCAGTCATCCTAGAGGCTTATTCAAAACAAGGCATGGATAACAGGGGTGGGGTCCGTCTAAAACAAGGCATGGCCCGAAGGGAGGAAGGCCTTTAATTCCAAGTTAGTAGTAGACAATTTTCCACTTCCTTTCCTAAATCAGTTTATGAAGATTTCACCAGTGAGGAGCAAGGCGGGTGATAATAAATCCTCCAATATCCGGAGGACCTACATGTAAGGCATGATCTATGTGATAATATTTTATCTCCATACATTTTTATGATGGTCCTAAAAAGTCACTAGTGAACTTTAAACATGCATTTTTGTAAGATATGAGAGAGAGAGAGAGAGAGAGAGAGAGAGAGAGAGAGAGAGATTTAACCAGGCAGTTTTGTAAGATGTTGGAGAGAGAGAGAGAGAGAGAGAGAGAGAGAGAGAGAGAGAGAGAGAGAGAGAGAGATCAATGATTGCAATATATCAGTTCTACATAATCCCAGACAACATTTATCTACAAAGACATGCAATGCAAGAGACAAGATTACATGTAAATCTAGCAGGTCAACATCTCTTCAAATACACTTCTGATACAGTCGACAAATATCTCTGATATACCTGTCAAAACTTCAGGGTTAAAATGCCTCAATAGATTTGTAGTGAATGTCCAAGTGGCCATCCTGTCTCTGACGGGACAGATAAATTTGACAGTAGAGAGCAAAACATGGCTCTCAGTGTCCAGATAGCGCTTCTTAAAACCCAAACATGTACATGTACTATAGCAGACACACACACAATTTCTTTTGTGTAGGTTTTTATACACAGTTTAAGCAATTTGAAAAATAAATAAATAAACAAGTACAAGTTTTAAGTAAGGATCAATAAAAATCCTAAAATGTCCTATATGTCACAACAGCGATAATTGCATTAAAATATGTAACAAGTGTTTTTTTTTTTTTTCAGTCAATAGAGAGAGTTTATCCCAATTTGATAGCTATCAAATTAAGCAATTAAGGTGACACTTTGTCTGAATTGATTACAAATCCATTTCAGTAATTACGAGCCATGTGTGACGAGATCGATGAGATGTCAAAAACATTTCTCTTGCACCAGATGCTCGGAAGTTGCTATAATTTTCTTCCTGTACAACACTCTCGACCAGCCCCTACCTATATGAGCAAGTTTATAACTTTGATCACACCTCTCCAAATACATGAGCCAGCTTTTATAATGTTTCACTTAATTTGAAAGGTATGAACTTGGCCTGACCATAAGGTCAGCTATTACATGAACCAATGTGTGTAATAGCCATTTAAACGTCACAAATCTGGACTGCTTTTCAACTTTCTAAGTGATCCACCAACAACTACATGTCTTAATATCAATCTCTCCCAGACAATAAAAATGATACTCAACCTGATAACTGTTTCTTTCTCACCTTGGCAATCTGTGAACTTTTGGTTTATGCTGTCCAATGCAGAACTTGGCATACACACGCGAGGCTCCTTGACCTTTATGGTTAACTCCCTTTCAGACAATTAACAGTCAGGTTTAAATCACTTTATCAATGCAAAATACTGCTTGCATGTCCAAATACTGTCACGCTAGCAGATATTTTTTGTTTCTGACAGTTTTGAAGTCAATCAAGTGTAGTTGTTATCAAATTGGCACATTTAAAGCCTCTTGTAAAACAACTTATTTTCTTTAATAAATATCAAATTTCACTTGACATTCTCATAAAAAAAAACTGGACATCAGAAATGACCAATGGTCAGACAAATGCCAAGACTGTCATAGCAGAAATTAATCTCATGCACTCTTTCACCTGTAATTTTAAAATTTACCATTATCTCAGTTTGAAAGGGTCCATCTGTGAAATGACCCATCTCATTCACAACTTATGAAAATGTCCACTATTTCATAATCAAACAGACCATTACTTACTATAAATGAAAGGACCAGCCTTACACCAACACAATGGGCACTATCTTTAATCAAAACTAGAGGATCAGAGAGGCGATACCGCCTCCTGATATTGTACCACCAGCTGGGCCGGTAAGCCCATTTGTATGGGAAAGAAAAAGAAAGTGGGGCCCCACCTGTATGGTTGTGGGTGACAAGCTGCAGGAAATGTAGTAAACAAGGTGTTTTTTTTTTTTTTT